AAATGACAATAACATTTCCTCTTTCTTTATTCTCAGCTTATCTCTAAAGTAAAAAATGACAGTGTCATTTCTTCTCTGATTGCAACTTCTCAGCTGATCCTTAAAAGGGATAAATGACACTCTCATATCTTCTTGCATTATTTCTCAGTAGATCTTTGAAAGTGATAAATGATGCTAACATTTCTCCTCCTGTCCCCAGCTGACCTGAGTAAAATCTCCGTGAGTGACCTTGAGAACATCCAGGAGACCGACACACCCCCTCAGTCCCCATCCAGTCAGAAACAAGAGAACGGAGAGATGGCCTCAGTGCAGGTCAAGCCGCACGCGACAGGCGGGATGGTGCACTACTTTAAGGTAACATCTCTCTGACTACACATGCTGAGCTGTGAGTGAAAAGGAAGAAAAAAAAAGTGTGTGACATTGGGAAAAGCCACCAGAAAGTGTAAAAGATTCTTTTGAAAAATCCTTGAAAATAGAAGTAGAACTTCATTTTAAAAACAAACAAATTAAATAAGGAAAGGAAAGAGTTTTGTAATTTTGATGTAAAGAAGTTTGCTCAATTACTATTCTGAATTTTTTTTGGAAACAAATTTTAGGACACATAACAATTTTTTCTAAAATATATAACTCTGTATTCCAAGGGATCAGCTTGACTGTGCTTGGTAGGGTCAGGCTGCTTCCTAAATTATCTAAATTGTATCGATGGAAGGGGGGGAGGGGGGATAATTACAATCATTACGGTCATCTTTCTCTACTTTAGGTGCTGGGTAATGCTGGACTATTCTGCTGTTTGCTATGCAGGGATCTGTGGATTACTGTCATTTTGTAGGGCAAATCATTTCTGCCGTTAGCTGAGAAAACACCTTTTTTTCATTTTGGCGCTAACATTTTTTATTTGCTAAATCGAAAGCCTTATCGGTTACCTTACTTGTATGAAAAAATCAAAGTGAAACTGACTAGTTTTTTAATAAATTCTAATTCAAAGTTTGGAACAACTCTGTTTTTCCATTTTTACGCTGACAAAAAACTTCTTTTTCTCGAAACTGCTGTGAATTTTTAAAAGGCGTTTTGTCAACATACTGCAGATTTGCTCTTCATCCCTAGCCCATCGTCCTCTCTTTTTGTTTTGTAGCGGCGAGGAACTTCACTGTTGCTTGCTGAAGACATGAGTTTAATTTTTGTATTAGGAGATTTTTTAAAAATTGAGTATTTTGGTCTTTATGCTGGGACGTTGTATCCCTCCCATCCCAGGTTAGCCATGGCAGGCAGGGTCGAAGCAGCTCACCTCCTAAATAATCTAAGTTGTGTTGATGAGGTCGTAAAACACGAATAATTACATTACATATTTGTGGCATATCTCACAGCATGTGCACACTGATGGAGCCGAGAGCAGTGAAGGAATCACATCTGACGCTGAGGGAACCCCACCCACGCTGGGCGGCATCCGAAAAGATGGCTCCAGGAAACAGATGAAGGCCAGACAGCCCAGACGTCTCATCGAGTACTCCGAGCCGGACTCGGCCGACGATGATTCGAAGGATTTGGTCAGTTTCATGAGGGGTCGCTTATCAGTCACTTGAGCAGTCACATAAGTCGCTTAAACTTGACACATAAATCTGCCCCTGTTTCTGTCTGTCTGTCTGTCTGTCTGTCTGTCTGTCTGTCTGTCTGTCTGTCTGTCTGACATGGTCTAGAGGTACCGTGTTCGCTTCTCTTTCAATAGGTCCCGGACTCGGAACGCGACAGCGAGGGAAAAGTTTTTTCTCTAAAATGTAAAACGTTCTCCTGTCCCTTCCTTTCCTGCTCTCTAACCATGTTCTGTCGTCTGCTTTCGTCTCCATGCTTTCGTCTCCACTTTCTGCCTTCACCCCCTCGTCTCCATTGCCCGCTCCTCGGGGCTCCTGATTCTTTCTTCAGCCTTTCTACTTCTTCTCCTTGGCTTCTTCTGACTACTCTTTCAGCTTGATCTTAGGGAAGGTAAGATCTAACACGCAGCCTTCTCGGATAAGCGAGAATTTTTTTTTGAGGTCCCATGTGCAAGTTGGGCACGTTAAAGATCCCTTGATGGTTTTAAAAGATAAGAGTGGGCTTTGGCAGCCACCAGGGCAAAATTCAAAATTAGTTCTTTCCAAACTAAAAATTACTGAATCTGTCCCTCGCGCTCATATATATGAACGTAAGCAAAACACTTTTTTTAAAAAACAACTACGAAGCTAGCGAGTCCGCTATAGGAAGGGGTTGAGGTGGGAATCAGAGAACGTCTTCCATGCCTAGTACACACTGTCAGTCGGTGTCATCAGGATGAGTCGGGGACAGAACCTTACAACAAACGAGCTCTTCTCTCTCTCTCTCTCTCTATCTCTCTCTTTCTCTCTCTGTCTCTCTCTGTCTCTCTCTATCTCTCTCTATATATATATATCTCTGTCTCTTTCTCT